CCGCTTGTTGACGCGGAGGGAAAGGTGCGCTGGATCGTAGACCGCATTGTGGGTCACGAGGACCCTCCACAACCATTACTGCAGTCGGCTCATGAGAAGCGTGCGGTTCCATCCGTGCGCAGGTACCGAGTACGTTGGCTTGGATTCCCTCCCGAGCAGGATACATGGGAATTACGTTCCTCGCTCCTTCGTGACGTTCCAGATGTGGTTCTGTCGTATGAAGCCACGAAGTCGGACTATTCCAAGGCGGGCGAGCACGCGAACGCTCTCGTGACAAACGAGAGTGGTAAGGAGATCCACGTCGTCGGGAACGGGAACGATGACGCGAACGAGAACGATGTCGTGAACGAAACGATGCCGTGAACGAGAACGTCGTGTGAATACATATCACGATTGCGAGGCGAGAATTACGCAGCAGGATGGGCAAGCGAACGTGTCGCTGCCCTGCGCTGATGATCCCGCGGAGATTGACTCCGCTGTCGCGAGTGGTGCTGCCAGCGAGGCGCACCACGAATAACTGCGCTTCTCCGTTCGCTCAGACTTTGCTCATACTTTGCAATCCAACTTCGTTCGCGATCACTGAGTGGACACTCAGCGATGTGTCGTCGCCATTCGTCATGAGTTGGGCGTGGAGTCGAGTCACAAGACTGGCATCCTTCATTGACATGGACGAAGCAGAGACGGTCCTCATTCCAAGCATCTTCACACACTCTTTCGCGTAGCGCGCCGATGGAGTGATCGGCGCGAAGCTCCTCTCGATTGGCGAGCCATAGTTGGAAGCTGCTACCATCCTCGAGCATCCGATTCCAACGTTGGATAAAGGCACACCAAGAACGTTGTAGAGCTTCATGCTCGATTCCATCAAGACCTTTCCCGCGCAGTTTTTGAAATCGGCGGAAGTAGTCCCGCATCGTGTCCAGCGAGTCCGGAGCGTGAGCTCCGGACAAGTCGTACAGTGACCAAGGTATGAGCTGCCGCGCCATGATGCTTGTTGATGCACTCCCGCTGATGCTTCTTGGGAGTGCTGCTGGATTGGGTGTTGGGTCTCTGAACATCGCTTGTTCGTTTGTGGGCGAAATGTTTTCGATAGGTGAGCGCTCACGGTTGGTGAGTGCTGTCGTGAGAAGGGGGTGATGTAATGGGCTACATTACACACATAGTATTAATATGAATAAACAATTACATATGTAGGCAGGGTGCTGGGCCCGAATAGCGGGCACAGCGTGGTAATTTATTATTGGTTTATTATTGGGCCTAAAGTCCCCAATATGGACCAATGATAAATCAACCTGAAATTGTGTGGTTCCCGAAAGGCGGGAACACTGTCGTATTTATTACGACTAAAATCTTCGTAATTAGTACGAATTAAAACCAAAATAAAAATCAGAGTTAAATTTACTTAATACCTAATACTTGGGCTTGAGTCTTCCTCGAGCGCACGTGTAAGCTAGTGACGGTACGTTCTAGCCCCGTTACAGTGTTCGTGTTACTCTCCTCTTTGAGACTTATGTCGAAAATGACGTTATGTGGTAACGTCAGTCTGGTGCGTGAGAATGTAACGGGATTACACAACTGTGGTGGAGTGGGTTCTCAAAATTGTATGATGAGACCCCAAACCACTCACTGTGCCGGACTGACGACTGTCGGAGGGGGTACCCCGATGCCGCGTATGAACCTTGTCTCACCTTGTGTACCCGTCGGCTGGCGGGTTGCACTCTTCGGAGGACTTGGTGACGATGTAGATGTCTGCCTTGAGGGAGGTAGACCTGGGAAGCCTCGAGTGGATATGCTTCACTCGGTAGGCCGGTAGGTGACCACTCGATCGACCTTGTCGAGAGTGGGCTTAGAGCCAAATTCTTCATGGAGCTTGTCGTCCCTGGCCATTTCCTTTTTGTGTCAGGGGTATTAACCACCTGACCTTTACTTTGCTCCCGGATCGTGAGGTGAGGGAGACCGCTTACGATAGCGGGTATGGGGGGTTTTGCTACTCGAGCTAGCTCACAGGCCAAATATATCCTGGAGCTCTATTCGCACTTGAACTTCGCTACACAACTGTCTTCGACTGGGGGCCAAAAAATATCTTAACCCGGAACAGTGAATAGCTTAGAGCAAATTCTTTTTGGGCGACAAAGTCGTTGTGATAATTCAATTCTGATTAACATAAAAAGTCTTGTACTATGCCAAGTAGATCGCAAATTGAGTAGTATTTAATATAGTCCTATCCTTTTAACTTCTTTACTCTATCCTTGCCTGAAGCTCTTATTACTTGCGTCGACTGGTCTGGTCCTTGTGTTAGCTGGCCAGGAGTGGCTGAACCCCGAGGGGCCGAGGTCGACCGAAGAAGAACCCAGGTCTTCCAACGAGGTACCGGGTCGACCAACGAGGGACCCAGGTCTACCGATAAGGGACCGGATCGACCGACGAGGGACCCTGGTCCACCAATGAGGGACCGGTTCGACCGATGAGGGACCCAGGTCTACCAACGAGGGGCCGGGTCGACTGATGAGGAACCGGGTCGATCAATGAAGGGCAATGGTCAACTGCCTTCGGTAATGGTTAACCGGTACCCTCATAATGATTTTTATTCTATGGGTCCTGCAGATTGTTCTTCGCCAACGGTCGCTCCCTCTCGAGGCCCCTGTCTTTCTGGTCTCTTTTCTTTGAATCCACGGTCTATACTCTGAATCCAACTAGATTCTGGGGTCCCCATATCGCAAAAACAGCACTTCACCATACAACGGTTGGATAGGTATATCCAGAGTTATGTGCATTGTTGTAATTCTATGGATATTGCATAAACGTATTTTTGGTACTTCCCTACAAGAAGGTATGAGGTATGAGCGTTACGATACGGTATTCGGTAATACCGTCTCATATCGGTTAGGATTCGATGATCGATATCGCTGTACTAAGTACATCATACACAGATGTTTGGACGACACGTTTTGCAATAAAGAAGTCTGCATGTTATTGTTACTGTTATAGTAATTAATCTAGTGTAGGGTACTTGTGTCTCGTAGCCGTAATTTATTTAGTTCTTTAGAACTAAGATGCTTTTTGCCTTTGAGATCTTTCTCTGACTAAAGAGCTGTGTAGCTCTGTTACACTCGCAGCAAAAAGAACGGCTGGGATTGCAAAACTTATAGGTGACTACAACAAGAATGGCTTAGATGATATCACGAAACGCATTACGCAAATACAGCTCGAACAACTGCACAAGACACTTCAGTCACATAGTGGCTCGCTTTTGACCTTAAGTGCCACTGTGCGGAAGATTGTCTTCTGTACGGGCACAAAGAGGTGCAAACACCGCTCTTCATCGGACACCATAATGTAGAACGTTGGCAAAGCCGTCGCTACATGGTCATGGACCTGTCCGATTAGCGTTGCTCTATAACACATAAAGGCCTCAAGGCTTGCATTAGGCACTTCAGAGTCTTGAGACATAATTTGGTCGATATCTTCAACCCCAACTAACGCTGTAAGTTTTTCCAGCGTGAGTCGTTGCGCCTCAGAGAGGTAAAGACTCTCCCATCCTCACAGAAGGTCAGTCTTAGAAATCAGGTGTAAGATTGACCACGAGTGCATCCAAGTGAAGCTGAGAAACGTAGTTGTTTAAGTCAGAAGAAAACATATACAGGCTAAAAGCCTCTTAGTTTTATAGAGCTACATATAACGGCATTAAGCCACTTCGAGTTTTAAGAAACAAAAGGAACGACAAGAAGTCTACGAGTCTAAGGAACTAGAAGAGATTTCCAGTTTACAACTTATAAAGCTTTAGAGCTTAAGGTTCAATAAACCAAACGTACGAAGTGCACTAGAGAACAAGCCTTTTGAAGGCTTTAACTCTATAACTCAAAATGAGAACTGAATTATATTTATGCAATGAGATCTAAGAATAAACATATCCTAAGTACCCTACACTAGACTAATCACTAATTTTGATTGCAGAATCTTTTATTGGATGACATGTCAACCAATCACCAGTGTATGTTGTACTTAGTAGTACTACTGTATCAGTTATGAAACCGATACTGATAGTATAAGGTAAAAGTAATACCTTATAATATCACTCATATATAATATTCCTTTTTAAAAGATCGGTATCAAGAATACATTTTATGCAATACAAAACTTTAATCGTGATGTACTTTCGGTATGATGGTACAACCGCCCGCCGTGTAATCCTGTTACAAGCTTAACGACGGCTACAAGATGTCATGGTGTATCATGGTGCTGGACAATGGTGGCAAGCCCCAATTTGAGGGTATGCGGTGCAGAACAAAAAAGCGGAAGTTGGGGTACCTGTCCAGTAAGGCAGCACAGACGCTCTGGCCCTACCAACAAGCACTGCAACCGAGAAAAGTAGTAGCAACAGGCGTGAGCGCGTCAAAAGAAGTAACAGCGTCGAAGTTCTTCTTCTTCTTCATACCAACTGGCGTGCTTATGCAAAGGAGTCTCATTTTCTGATGGACAAAATTCGAAGGCCAAGCTCCTGGTGGCTTTCATGAAGATAATAATTGTTGAGCGGCTTCGATCGAAGACCCGTGCTACCACCTACCGCGATGACGTGGCATACATGCCGAAGAGGATGTACAAGACTTCCTTAGCACGCACCATTTATATTTCCTTGCATTGGTCCACCACCGTTTTTAAGCATCTCCGAGCGCTCTACGCTGCCGGCGCACTGCAACATCAGCGTATGCTTTTGCTCTGTGGCAAGTCGAGACTCTGCGCCAGGTTGTACGCAAGTATCCTTGAATTAGTGTAATCTTCCACTCTTTGCTACACGACGGCATTCCATAGCAGTAACAACATGTATCTCTCATGTATTGCATAGACAGACTACCTGTACAACTTATGTCGCTTAAATTATTTATGGCGGGAGGTTTAAGCGACATAAGTTGCTTGTCAAAAATGTTTATGCAACTGAAGAGGGCATCAGTAACGCGTTCAACGCCAATCACTTCTCATCTGCCAGTTGACGATCGATCGTAACGATGGCGCACGTGGACCGCGCGCAGTTGAACGACATGAACCTGCAGGTGCTTAAGCGCCAGGACGCAGATGTGACAGAGATTGTGGATACTGCAAGCCACGTCGTCATGTACGAGTTTGACCAGGACGCACAGAGTTGGGTACGTGTGGCAACTTAAGAGAGGGGGTAGGTGCTAGTGTTTCGTGATGCTAACGTTGCAATGACGTTGTATTGTTGCAGAAGCGGAAAGACGTTGAAGGTTGTTTGTTTGTTGTCAAAAGGTGCGTAGGTGACGCTATTGAGGAAGTAAAATGACTCATACAATGGCTCACTCACTTTGCTGAGACGCTATCGCTTGCTTGCAGATCTTCGTCACCGCGTTTTCAGATCTTCGTGAACAACCGACTGAGCACAACAAACATGACGCTAGAGCTGGACGGACGCCTCCAAGTAGACAATGTCGATAGTTTCCTTATCCTCCGCAGCCCTGACTTGGTAAGTGAAAGCTCTGTAATCCATAGTTTGGTAGAGACTTGAGCTGATTTTGCTGTGTGTTATGTTTGATAGACGTACTCGTCGGGTTTTGCAATCTACGGTGTTTGGTTCTTTCCTGAAGAGGATCGTGCCAAGATTCTACAGCTGTTACAATCGTAAGAACCTTTTTGTCGTGCCTGTTTAATGAAGATGTAGTTACTAATGTGGTGAATTGTATAGTCTTATTCAGACGCTGAAAGCTCCACAGAGCGCTGCCATTATGAATAGTACGCAACAACAGCCCGTGAAGACTCAGTTGCCGCCTCAGATGCAGGCAAAGGCGAAACAGCTGCAGACGACACAGCCCACGCAGCAGCGGAACCAGCAGCAGGAGCGTCCTCCGTCGCAATCGCGTACTCGGGGACGTTCACGCAATAAACTGGACGATGTAAAGCGTCGCATCTCCAGTGTAAACACCCCCACCGCGATCTTGCAGCGATCTTCGAAGGGCACGCGAAGCAACAGCAGCAGTAGTGGCAGTAGCACAAACGGCATGGCTAAGCAGGAAAATACCCCAGTGGTTGCCAACTCGAGTGGCATGGTTCCTATTTCGAAGGTGGAAGGTATTGCTGCGGGTGAGGCCATTATGGGTATGATCTCGCAGAATTGGCCGCAACAGCAGCACAAGCAGCAGTCGACGGTGTCTAATGTGAACAAGGAGCAGCTGAAACAAACGCTGATCGATTTGCTGAATGACGCGCAGTTCTTTGACCAGATCTACCACGCATACGTGGACCGTGTGTCGACTCGAGGATGAAGAGCGAAGCGACAAAGGTAGTGTAAGCAGTGATGGCTGCCATTGAAGGAGGATCATTCGTTGGCATAGACCTTGAGCTCCAATCACACCTTTCCACTAGCTTTGAGTGAGAATAAAAAAGGGAGCGAGCGACTCAACACAAGATACCTAGTCTAACTCACACACACATTAACATGGGGTCGCGTCTGTTGTGCGTACAACATTATCATCATAGCAAGCCACTGCTGGCATGCAAATACACATTTTCGTGTTCTCTCTTTTTAACGGCTTGATGGTGATGTCTGAGACGAGTGATGACGGTGACAATCCGTTCACACGCTTTGCGTTTGCTTCGGTCCGAAACGATAGCAGCACCAACGATGGGATCACGGCAGAGATAACTGTTCATCAGCCTGGAACCTCCAGCGCTAAACGCGCTAGAACCGAAGCGAAGAAGCACGAAAAGGCTTCTTCCAGCCGTCAGGAAAAGATTATTAAGACTGAGCGTAAGAAATGCAGCGACGCATCTCACCAGCTGCAACTGCAGTTACTATTGGAGCTCTATGAAGCAAGGAAAGACATCGTGGACACACCCATCGACAAGTTCGGAACGAAAATGTGCGTAGCTCCTGGTGTGTCGAGCGCTAACGCCAAGCGCTTCCAGCTATTGGTGGCGGCGTTGCTCAGCTCGCAGACTCAGGATCCAATCACGTACGCGGCGATGCAGCGTCTGCATCAACTCGGAGGGAGCGGCGAAGGGCTCACCATTGCAACTGTGCAGGCCACAAGCGAAACAAAGTTGAGTGAAGTGCTCAAGCCGGTAGGTTTCTACCATCGCAAGGCGCACCAACTCAAGCAAGTGGCTGCCATCTTAAGCACGCGATTCCACGGAGACATTCCTCGTTCGTTGGATGAGCTACTGGAGCTGCCAGGCATTGGACCAAAGATCGGCCGTGTCATCACTTTGCTTGCATGGGGACAAGTAGATGGCATTGTGGTGGATACACACGTACATCGCGTTGCTCAACGACTCGGCTGGGCATCCACATCCAGCCCTCAAGACACGAGGCGAGATCTGGAAGAATGGGTTCCTCGCGAATACTGGGGTAGTCTTTCATTCGCAGTCGTGGGCTTCGGCCAGACCGTATGCACAGCAAAATACCCTTTGTGTTCGACATGTCCATTAGCTGCAAAGTGCCCCAGTGCCTTCAAGGTCGACACAACAAACACCAAGAACAAGAACCAGAGCAAGAAGCGCTGCACTTATGTGGCCAACACTTGAAGTCTCCTTCTCTATCCAACAAATAGCTAGTGAACAAAGCAGCACATTGTTATTGCCAGTATTGCAACGATCTGTGCGGTTATTTTGGTGATATACATGATGTTTTCTCCCTCTTCTGCCTCCCTCTCTTCACACCGTCTGGACGTACACGACAAGCAGTAGCAGGCAGCAAAAGCCCAATGTGATGATGGCCAGCACTGCCAGCGCACGCTCTGACACATCGTCCATATTCTCCACTTTGTGTCCGTGTGCGACCATCTGCGTAGACAGCGAGGTGGGCGATGAGCTCTTGGGACTGCTAAGGAGGTTCCCCACGGTCGAGAGTGACACCACCCACCTACCAATGAACTGCAGCACCTTCAGAGGCTTCACATTCACTAAAAAGACCTTCGCTACCTCTCCCAAGTCCTCGTCCTCCTTACGGCGTCGCCGCTTTCGCCGTGTCGCCACACCCTCGTCGAACTGCGTCCGGATAACTTCGCGTGGCAAAAGACCACCCATCTCTTCATCCTCAGTGTCATCCTCGTTATTTGTGGTCATGAGTGGCTGCCGTAACTTTCCTGCGTTGTCACTCATTACGGTACATTCTTTACGGGGACTCACAGCCCGAAAATGATCCCACACGACGTTCATGATCCTTCTCTAATATAACCTGGTAGTTACTTTAATATGCAGTGTGTAACCTGGTAGCAACTTCATTTGTAACCAGAACTAATAGAGTAACAGCTTATCAAACAGCATAAATCCGAAATCGACAAAATATTCAGACTTTCTACCATCTCGTGATTCGTTTGCGTCATCTTGGTATTCGTTTAAACAGGTAAACGTCAAATTAGCCATGGCGGAAAAGCTCCGTAGCGAGTTGCAGCAGCTTTCGTCCGTACAGCTTCGAGACCTTTTACGTACCACTGGCCATGGACAATTGTTACAAAGTGAAGTATATAATAAAGACAAGCAAGTGGCGGTCTCGAAAGTAGAAGAGCAGTTTGCACTAGACGCTAAGAATGAAGGGAACGCGTTGTTCCGCCGAGGTTTCATGAACGATGCAGTCTCTGCCTATTCTCGGTCTCTACACGTCGCTATCTGAATATTTTTCTCAATTTTTGTCAATATTTGTGACTAGTGATTGCTGTGCGATGGCTTTAGATGCCTTAAAGTGGACCCAAGCAACGCTGTGTGCCTTTCAAACCGAGCAGCAGCTTACCTGGAGGTTTGGCAGCAATAGAATTCTTCTCAAATGAGCTACTGATCAAAGTATGTGATTGTAATTTGGTCCAGTTGAAGCAGTTTGATCTTGCAATTATAGACTGCACCAAGGCGATCAAGGAGACTCCAATGATCAAGGTGCAAACATTTGTTGCTTAAGATGTACACGTCCTGGTGATAAATTTACTGACAATAGTTGTAGCCATTTATGCGCCGAGCAACGGCATATATTGCAGTGCAGCAGTTTCGACAAGCAGTTGCTGACCTTGAAGCAGCGTTAGAATTTGAGCCGCGAAACAAAGAGTGTCATGCAAAGCTTCAAAGTATCGTAGATATAGCGACGGATGTGCGACAGCGTGCAGGTGCTAGTACAGAGTTCCGCAAAGCAGCCATTCAAGCTGCATTGATAGTTTCTGTTCGTGAAGGATGGACGAAAAGTGCTGTGCGAGGCAACCCAGGTCCAGCTGCTGTAAATGGGCACACATTGTTTTCAGGAGCTGACGGACGCATTTATCTTTTTGGTGGAAGAGCAGTGCGTGAGCAAAAGCCTGATCTTTTTGTGCTAGACGAAAACGACAATTCAAGCTGGGACATAATACCTACTAGAGGCACAAGTGCGCCATCGTCGCGTGCGTGGCATTCAACTTCATCTATCGGGCACGAGAATAGAGAATTATATTGCATTTACGGTGGAGTGTCTTCACGGGGCGAAGACTCCAGCGTTCATTTGCTTGAGCATGATGCATTACGCGGATATCAATGGTTACAGCTTCGTTGTTTGCAAGATTCCAGCGAAATCCCTGCTCCTCGATCAGGCCATGCAACAGTATCACTTGTGGAAAGTACTGGCAATCGGGCTGTATTCATTTTTGGTGGGCGAACAAAACGAGGCGTAAACGACCAATTACTGGTTTTGAGGTGCTCTTCACTACCTGCTGTCGCCGTCGCTGACAGTAGTTGCGTAGTAGATACGACAGTTGTTTGGAGTGAAATTTGTCAAGAAAAAAGCGTGGAGAAACACTTGAATTGGCCTTCTGCTCGAGATGGTCACTCGATGTGTTTGCTGCAACGTTCGGAATGCCATTGGCCTCGACTCATCCTTTTCGGTGGAAATGGCCAGCTCAACGATGAAAGGATGAATGATGTGTGGACGTTTGACGTGGAGAAGCAGCTCTGGACGTTGCTGCATTGTTTCGGAGATATCCCACCGCCAAGGTCCTACCACACAGCCCACACCATCGGTGAGTTTCTTTTCGTCGTTGGCGGTCGGACTGCTGAATCTGAGGATAACACTGTGTACATGCTGGACATCGGGACATGCGAATGGTTTAAGGTGCCTGTTCCGAACGACCATGGTCTAGCTCCCCGCGCTTGGCATTCGAGCGTCCTTACCGACGGTGGCAAACTGTTTGTGCTGGGTGGTGGCTCTTACCACGGTCCACTAAAAGACGCCGCTTTGCTTGACTTAGGTTACTTTCAAAGCAAGGCATCTTTACTTTTTCGTCGCCACGATGACAAGTTCGTGCTGGATAAGTAAAGTTTTTACGACATAAGCGATGGAAGATTCTCGTGTTATTTGGTCTTGGCAATGCAGCAACGCAAATTCATTAGAAAGTGAACTTCATAAGAAAGCAAAACGAAGGAGCACGTCATTGTGCCTGGACTGCGGAACCCTTGGTGGCAGTATCGGGCACTTGGAAGACGCGCTTGTGTGAGAACTCGGCAACGAGGTGACAGTTTTTTGCGGGGTCGTCCTCGGGGGATCCGTCGCCGAGACTCTCGTCGCCGCTGCTTTTATAGTCAAAGCTTTGGCTCAAAAAGGTGGCTGACGAGTTGGACGGTGGATCTTCAAGTGCCTGCAAAAACTGATGCGAAGACGTAGGCGGTGTGTCGGGGCTTGGCATGGGATCTCCTAACAAGGCGTGGCGGTAGCTGGCTTTGCGGTTCTTCCACTTGGTCATGACAGCTTCAAGACTGGAGCAGCCGTCCAAGAAATTAGGTAGCTCGCCATGCAGTCGGTTGTCACGAAAGTCGGACTCCCTTAGAAACTTAAGTCGTGCGATGCTGTCAGGAACCCTGCCTTCCAATGCATTGTCAAACAGGTACAGATACTCGAGATCTTCAAGCTCGCCTAGTGACTCCGGGATAGATCCACTAAGCTGGTTGCTGGAAAGATTAAGGAACTCAAGTGTCTTGCAGCAGCCGAGAGACGGCGGGATGATACCCGTGAGTTCGTTGTTGCGTAGCGATAAGAATACGAGCGACTGCATGCGGCCAATGTCCTTGGGGATGCGTCCTGTCAGACAATTGCCACGCAGGCTGACCTTGCTTAGCTGCGTCAGTTCACAAAGTGCCTCGGGCAGAGCTCCACACAAGTTATTGTGCTGCAGCTGCAATGTCCGTAGACTCTGGAGCTTGCCGAGCTCCTTTGGTAGTGTCCCAGACAGCGCATTCTGGTACAGATTAAGCTCCTGCAGGCTTTTACAGGCGCCAATCTGACGCGGGATGGCGCCCGTCAGATCGTTGCAGCTCAAGTCCATACGCTTGAGTGACCTGAGTGTCCCCACCTCGACCGGGATGTCGCCTTGTAGCCGGTTCTTGGACAAGTCGAGTACGCGGAGCTGCGGCAGACGTGTAAGGCTGGCCGCTGGCAGACATCCACTCAGATCATTTGCTCGGAGTTCCAGCGCCACGACATGACCCATGGACACTTCGACACCAAACCACTGCTCTGGGTCTTGCGTCGTTTGTTTCCAGCCATCGCGACGGCGCCAGCGGTCGCCATTAAGCGCGTCGTAGAGCTCAACGAGCGCCGCCACTTCCGTCGTCGGGATAGAACTCTGTCCTTGGCCCATGGCTAGATGACACTTTGGATGAATCAGCCTCTTCTTCTTCTTACCAGGATAACAAAAGGGCTTCCAGCGGTTTTTCTCTCCCCTTTTAGTGGTAACTATGATTCGACGCAGCAATGATGAGGTCGTATTAATACGGCCATGGATGTCCCATCTGGTCGTGTCAAGCAGACGATCGATTGATTGATCCAAATTGGCAAAGAGTGCCCGAAATGCCTCGCTCAGCTATAGAAAAACAACAGTGACAAGGATGGAATGGGGTGGAGAATACCGCAGCTACCGCTGGCTGCGTTCATTTTGATTACTCATGGAATGACTTCTTAATAATTATGACTACCTGATGAACGGAGGACTGGACTCCGCCTTATAGTGCGTAGCTCTGCTGATCCAGCGAAGGCTCGCGGTTGCGTGACGACATGGGTGTCGTTACGCTGGACTGGTACTGTGGCACGTACCGTGGCATGTACTGTGGCTGATGCTCGTTGTCGACGTCAGCCACGGCTACCTCGAAATTGATGCCTTTTACTGATGCCGCGGCCAACGCCTTAGCTTCCAGTCGCTTTTGTTTGCGCTTGTTGAGGCTGTACGCGATGATGCTGTTTGGTGGGGCTGCAGACGTGGGCGCGTACGAACGCGAAAGCTCTGCTTCACTGGATAGCGCTCCTCGTCGTCTACGCTGGCGAGGCTGCGTTGACTCAGAGTTGACCGGTAGCACTGCTATCGGTGACATTTCGGGTGTTGGCTCAGGCAAGGGCTCTCCAAGACTACCTGTCAACGTAAAGGACGAGTTGTAACTGGGGCTGGTCGAGCCCTTCGTAAGTGAGGCCACGAGCTTATTGAGGTCGAAGGCAAAAGCCGGTTGGAAAGTGTGCGGGTCCTTCGAAGGTGCAACACTGTCGAGTGCGGCGTTGAGGTCGCGGCGCTTAATCACGGCTGGCACACGGCGCATGGTGGAGGTGCCCCAGGCGGCGGCGGCTACGGATTCGCTCTCAGAGCCGTCGGTATTGACGAATGAGGGCATCTCGGGTGAGACGGTGGAGATGGGTACGTTGTAATAATTGCCGCTGCGTGTACTACGCATGACGGACGTGTAGCGTGACTCGACCATCATATTGATGTTCTGCTGCTGCTGCTTCTGCTTGTGGTGTACTCTGGTCAATGCTTCTTAGCGAGCCGAGAGTTTGGTTTGAGTAAAGACCGTGACGGTTACAACTGCTGTTGTGTGTTGCTGGGGGTGAGTCGCCGTTGCGGATGCTTCTTCGATAGAAACGTCCGCGTCTGTCGTGACGTTCAGTGGTCACCAAGACGTGCTAGTAGTAAAATGTGCAGTGAGAGAGCTGGTCGTCGAGAGCTCAAGTGAGTTGTGCCTCGCATGGTCGTTCCCTACGACCTCTCTCCAAGGGTTAGGTCTCTCCCCATCCGATCGCCATTTCAAATACGGAGCAGACACATTTGGCCAGGACGTCCGTAGCTTAACCGTTACATACATTTGTCAAATGTAAATGATCTCCCCTGACGGAGAAGCGAGGGTGCTACTTGTTTATACAACCATCTGATAGGAGCGCACGCGCAAGAGACGAAAGCGAACTCTTGTGGTGGTTTTGCCACTTTTGCCAATACTCTTGACCGCTCGAATGCCTTTGGTTGCAACGCCAATGAGATGTGATTTTTAAATACTTATACTCTTACCAGCACAGATTGTCGTCAGGGTGTGCTCTCTATGTCGAAATACGGTTTGCTCCGGGAAGCACCACAGACATTCAAGTCCATCATGGTAGTCGCGCCTCCCACTCTTGAAGTTCTGAGCCGATTTCACGTCAGCTGCTTAGAGTACAGGCAATTACTACACTGTAGCACCTGCACCTGCACAAAAAGACGCCGTAGTTGCACATTTGGCAACTGTCAACTGTTTCGTCAATTTGATCAAAGCGGTTCCACCGAAAGACACGAGGGATGATTGCGCTGTGCAAACACGAAACAGCTCTAGATCAGGCCATGCAGAGCCTGTGCAGAGGACCTGGCGACAATTATCTCACATGCGTCGCTGACGACATACGAACGCCTAGAGCTCGCGTCCGTCGCAAACAATTCGCGTTAGGACCCTCCTATATGGATGGTTCAGATAGAAGAAGCCATGTATTTACAATGCAACACATTTTGCCATGTCACCAGAAGCTCTTTAAATTGCAGCTGTCGCTTCTGTTCAAGGATGAAGAAGACGTGATTGCGAGGTTATATCGGATGAGCTTTATCTTTGGTATGTATTCTACATGATAAGATACTAGAGCTGAAGAGCAACGATATATGGCATTAAACCGATCCTTAGGACCACGTGCAACGATTGAAACACACGTTAGAGTGATAACAAATGGTCCTAGTATCTTCAAGGTTTTAATCATTTTGCAGAGTGACTATTGTAATGATCGTCGTAATCGTCTACTCGCTTAATTTGAAACGTCGCTACATCAGAACATGTTGTGGTGCTCTATAGTACATAATTATGTTGGTAACGTGTTTGTAACGTGTCACTGTAAAGAGGTAATGAATGCCCGCAGTCGACTGACTACTTTGAGTGGCTCTTATAAGCAGCAGCATCATGGTGGACACGACGAAGCGTCCTCAAGCCAATGGCAAGCACCGGATAAAGAAACTTACTGCTGAAAAGCTACGGCAGTTTCGTAATGAAATTGTCAAGGGAAATGGGCAGCAAGTTGATCTCACGGAGCGTGGTATTGAGTCTATCGTGAGCTTGGAGGGTCTGCAGAACGTCACCAAATTGGATCTGAGCCACAATAAGCTCACAAAACTGTCGCAGCTCAAGTCTATAGCACACGTGACGATGCTTAAGATCACGGACAATAAATTGAATGGCGATGGATTGATGGAGATCCAGCACCTCAAGAAGCTCGTGATTTTAAATGTCGCCGAGAACAACGTCACGCGCATCCCGTTTGAAGTGATACGGAACATGAGTACACTCAAGGCGCTGGTGCTTAATAAAAATTTTATCTCTTCATTGGATTGGATGCCTAAGCTACCGGTGAGATGCACAGATGATAACAAAAGAGAGAGAAATGAAAAGTGTGGACTGACTTTTTTTTCGTGTGACAGGAGCTGAATTCGCTTATTGTGAGCAACAACCGCATCACACAAATACCACAACGTGTGTTGGACGGACTTCCAAAGCTGACGAAGATAGGGGGGGGAGGTGAATGCTGAAATGGAAATCCCTCAAACGACTGTTCATACCGCAAACGAGAATGATGACGAGAAGCCGAGCAAGAAGGAGAAGAAGGAGAAGAAGGGGAAGAAGGAGAAGAAAGATAAGAAAGAGAAGAAAACGAAGCAAGAGAGTGAAAAGCTGGTTGCTAACAAGCCGCTTAAGGAGGTTGTTGCTGCACCTGAGTCCGAGAAAAAGTCAAAATATCAGGAGAAGGATGTTAAAGCTAACGGTCCTGCACCAATGGACGTTGTGCAGAGTGCATCTACGTCCAAGTTTGATGCAAAGACAAAAAAGAAGAAGACCAGTGAGAAGAAGCCGAAAAAGAAGCAAGACAAAAAGAAAGACATGCGACAGCCAAAGGAAATTGCCAGTGGTGTGGTGGCTGTAAAGCAGTTCAAGAAAGCCAAAAAGAGTAAAAACGCACAAGACAAACCTGTGGATTTGACGCAGATGAACTTTACGCCCGATGTTGGTTTTGGCGGTTCGTCTACATGGGACTGACTAGTCCTCTTCAACTTGCTTTAATGTCCGCACACGAAATAGATTGGCTACCAAAAACCCTCTATAAATGCATAATTGAAATTAGAGAGGCTGTCTTGTACAAACGAGCGGTACAGAGCTAAAGATGGCGAGCAGTCCGGTCAGCGAGAGTATTGAGAGGCTCATGACGTCCAAGAGCCATGACGAAGAGGAAGCTCTGGTGCGTTGTTGTATACGGTAGAAATGCCTCTATTTCATTGACTTATTTCTTTCTTCTTATCACGTGTTAGGCCCATATCTCGTCGTTGGCGGACAATGCCAAATGGCGACTACAGGACGATATGCCGGCTCATAAGAAGGCAGGATTTCATCGCCATCATCAGTATACGAGCCCAGAAGGATTTTCGGAGGTACCTCGTCAATATATTGTGACTACCCACTCCAAGGAACAAAATTATGCCACGTATGCTGCGAACTCATACGCATCGGCTATTGCCATTCAGGAAGCGATGAAGTCTCGTCCGTTCTAAGCTATTGCTTTAGTTGGCTGCAGTATTAATTACTTGTCAGCTGGAAGGGTACTGATATGAGCGATAATATATTGTCCAACAGCTGAGTGATGACGGAGAAAACTTCTAACAGAAATAACAAAATGAAGGAATTGATCGATTGGTCGATGGTATAACAAGCTTGTGACTGTTGATACACTACCAGCTAGTGTTTTTCTGCTGGTGAATTGTATAGATAGACCTGGATGCCACAATGAACGTCAGTCTCGACACCTTCGAATCTTCGACTAGATGAAAAACTTACTCTGGTGCCTTTGTAGATGCGCTGATCATCAGGTTTCCAGCCTGGGATCGAAAAAACGTACGTTACGATACGTACGTGTAGCTCCCGCGCTTCCTCTAACCTGCTCACCACAGCAACAGCTTGTTAGATCCAAGCAGCATCTAGACATATCTTCCAACTGCATTAGCTTGTACTTTGGCAACAGCATCTTGATTCCCTACACAGGAGGAAAGCACAACCGTTAGCTTCTGTCATGTCATCTACTTGAAAATCCTTTACGTACTTGTGGGACAAGATAGAGAAACATAGCTGTAGCTGTCGTAAGATCGACCTTTAGTGCATCACCATGTCGAATATCCACGAGCTCTTTTACTCCATGCTCCTCAACACGTGTTAGTGCTCGCTTCACCAGGTCTTCATTATATTCCACACCAACACATCTACAATTCAAGTCCGATACAAGGAATTGGCCCAATAGTTTATTGCCCCAAAATAAGCGATGCATTCGTCGCACCTTGCACCGGTCTTATCGGCTGCATGGACCAATATCCGCGCGTCACCGCAACCCAAATCAAACAAAACATCCTTTTCTGTGAGTGCTAGCAGATCAAGCGCATGGCTTAGCACTCCGTCACCGCTGGGTGTGGAAGGTGCGAGCTTTGGGCCCAATAAGACAGTCTCGAGCGGTGTCACTGGCGACATGATTTTAATAAGTGGTCACATTGTATTTAAGTTCAGTATCCGAGTTCTATCCTACTGTTGTTGCGTCGAGCTTGAAGCAAGCGGCGAGTAAACGATATCACGGAAAGTCGTGCGTATCCGGTAATGCTTTTTTCTCGTCACTTTATTCCGAGGTAAGGTATTGAAACTATTCACATCATAGCGCGCACGATAGATGGACAATGCATTAAAGAAACTGGATCTGATCGTGTAGTCGATTCGCTTCAAGTGTACAGCGATCTAGCAATTAGAAAAGACCAGTCTCTTTCTTCTTAGCCTGCTTTTTCCACTTGGGAAGCTTGGCAAACTCATCCTTGCTCATTTCCATTACGGTCTGAAATTCAGCGTCCGTGAGGTAATTCTGGGGAAAACAAGCCAACCAGACCGTCAGTACTACTAAAAGCTACAAGAACTGCCGTGGGTGATGCTTACCTCTTTCACAGTAATATCGATGCCTTCAACACCAGCCTTCAGCTGCTCGTAAGAGAAAGTCTCGCCAGCACGACCGGTGGCCTTTCCAGCTGTGGGTACAGAAGTAGCCCGTGAGGATCCTGGTGCAGGTTTGATTGATGCCAAAGTGGCCGTCGACGAAACGGGCGCAGCCTTGGGTGATGCCGACGTGGCCTCAAAGGATGCCGTAGTGGCCCTCGACGAAATTGGCGCGGCCTTGGGTGATGCCGGCGTGGCCTTCGACGAAACGGGCGCAGCCTTGGGTGATGCCGGCGTGGCCTCAAAGGATGCCGTAGTGGCCCTCGACGAAATTGGCGCGGCCTTGGGTGATGCCGGCGTGGCCTTCGACGAAATTGGCGCAGCCTTGGGTGATGCCAGTGTGGCCTTCGACGAAATGGGCGCAGCCTTGGGTGATGCCGGCATGGCCTCAAAGGATGTCGTAGTGGCCCTCGACGAAATTGGCGCGGCCATGGGTGATGCCGGCGTGGCCTTCGACAAAATGGGCGCAGCCTTGGGTGATGCCGTAGTGGCCTTCGACGAAATTGGCGCGGCCTTGGGTGATGCCGGCGTAACCTTCGACGAAATGGGCGCAGCCTTGGGTGATGCTGGAGTGGCCTTAGACGAAATGGGCGCAGCCTTTATTGATGCCGAAGTGGCTTTCGACGAAACGGGCGCGGCCTTGGGTGATGCCGGCGTGGTCTCTGACGAAATGGGCGCAGCCTCTGGAACATGGGCATTCAAAGGCAGAACAGGAACAGCCTTTGACGCAACCGGGACAGATGTAGGGGTCTCCTTCTCGCGGATCTTTTCGTTAGTAACCGTACCAGGAAGATCTTTCGGTGTGTTCTTTTCCTTTTCGGCCTTCAGCTTTTTCAGACGGGCTTCGTAAGGATCCAAGAACTCATTCTTTATGAAAAACTCGTTGTCCCAGGCCAAAAAGTTGCTCGTGAACATGAGGGGCTCGCTGTTGCAGTGGACCGCCACAATGGATGCGCCCTTCCCACGGCCGTCGCTCTGGGCAACAGCTAGGTACTTCTCAGCAAGTGACATAGCCTCGCGCCTCTCAGACTCATTCGCACCGGCACCGATCCAGACATATAGAGTTGTGAACGTATCCAGGATAAACACGTCGTCCGTGTTAAGATCATCTTGCGCAAAGTTGACGATCTCACGCGCATCAAAGTACCCGTACGAGTTTGAGCACTGGAACAGGCGGGGATCGTGCGGGGCCTCGAAAGACGATTTCGACGTCGCGTACTCGCCCTTACCGCCAAGGAAGTCCCAGAACTCCTTTGCTTCGCTGCCCTCCTCGACAACCTCAGTCTCGCGGCTCTTTTTCAAAATAGAGGCAATCTTGGATGCAATCTCACGCTCAGCAGAGCTACTTCCAGCACCCTGCCACTCGTACACCATACTGGGAGTCACTAGGACAAAGCAATCGCCAGAGTTGAGGCTTGAGGCCTTCTCATCTACCTGCACCGCCATCGTGTTTTTTGCGCTGGTGCCCTTGATCTGGTACAGGGAAACTCCATCCGTGTCGTAAGAATCTTCGTCGTCACGGTTGGCAAAAGCACTAGCCTTGCCACCAGCGTGCACGATCATCCTTCCATTGAACAATGCACGGAAGTGTGCTGGCTCCTTGCCTTGTGTCACACGGACCTGAACGGGGGCACCACCAAGGCTGTCATCCAAAAAGGTTGACAGGATGGCAGACGCAGCCTTCTCGTCGATCGTCGACGAGCGTCCCTGCCAAAAGTAAATCACCTGGGTAGGCTTGCCACTGGACGGAGTTACCACATGCAGAACAATGTAGCTGTCACCATTGTAAAAATGACCATACTGCTCTTTCGGCACACCCACCTTCGCCAGTTCTTCAATACGCCACACCGTAACTTCGTGTTTGCCATCTCCATTCGGATCTACGCCAATATCCTCCTCTGACTGCAAGGCTGACTTCACCATTTCCTTCACATTAACTTGCTTATCGTTTTGCATCCTAGCAACGCCCTGACTCAGCTGATAGCCAAACTTAAGCACCTTGGGCTCAGTCCAAGCCTTAAATAATAAAGTGAATACGGGTGTCTCACCCTCCTCCACAACACGAGTGATAGGCGTGTGCGACGGACGGCCTTCCTTTTTCAAATAGTGCACAGCGATCGCTAAAGCATTCTTGCGCTCGCTCTCCGACGCAGCCTTGCCTACCCACACAAACACCTCGTTGCCGACGTCGATAATAAACACGTTCTCAGTCTTTAACATGTCCTTGGTGAGCACGCCCGACGACGGCGTCACATTAGCAACCTGCACGTTGTCGTCACCGGATCCGCTCACACGAAGTACAGTAGTATTCTTCTTGACTGCATTCTCATAGTATTCGTCGGACACACCCGAACGTGTCACAGTCGTGAAGCCACCGAGAGCTTTCCAGAACGCCGCATTCTTTGGCTCCTCGTCAATGAACGTGATATTGGGACGACCACCACGTGCCTCTCTCGTCTTGCTAACAAACTCCAGTGCTTTTGCCTTCTCAAGACGGTTGGCTTCCTTACCAGCGTACACGTAAAGCTCAAGTCCAGCATCAAGTACATAGGCGTCATCCACATTTAAAGACGAGCTCTGCAATGGCACCTGCTCAACACGAGCCGTGTGCTTGCCCTTGATCCGGTACAGACAAGTTACGTATTCATCACGCTTCACTTCATTAAATCCACTAACAACACCTCCTTTTAGGTACTGCAAACCTGTAGCTTTAAAGTATGACAAGAACAAAGGCTAAAGTTGCACAGAAAAAGATCAGTCATCAACAACAAGATCAATGAGAAACAAAGTGATCTGTAAACGTACCGACTCATAGCCTTGACACTCACGATGTTGTACAGGCACGCCGCCTAATGAGTCATCGAGTTCCACGGTCTTGTAGGCAGCGACGCCACTCTCGTCCATTGATGAGTCTTTGCCCAGCCAGAAATGAATGTGCCGCGTCAGTCCACTAATAAAAATAGTCGTTATACATGGGTTCAACATGTATACAGATGTTAGAAATGTGTATACATTGTAGCAATGAGAGATGGCACACGTACGTTGATGTTTCATTCGTCTTGAGAAAGATATAGCTGTCACCACTGTACAATTTATGTTGTTCAGTAGATGGTACTACTATGGGTTTAAAGTCTTCAATACGCCAAGCTTCGAGTCCGGCTTTCTTGCCTGCCTCTCTAAACGCATTCTCAGTCGTCATAATGTTGTTGTTGTTAATCGCTTGTGATCTTTTTTCTAAATGAAGAGGGGAAATGATTAGGAATCACTATAAGTGTGTGATTTCGAATTTACGTGGTACACCTTATTGTGTAAAAGTAGCATTGTATCTGATTTACATACCGGTATGGAATTGCGTGTTACCGATTATACTTTGGTAGCAAAAAACTTATTTGAGAGACCTGCGTAATGGGCTTTGCGACTTTTGACTTTTTCCACTGAATGCACCAAGCAGACGACAAGTCAACTTACCAAGAAAAAGTTACTTAACTATATTTATTATACGACCATTGCCAAAAAAATATATACAAAGAAATCTCAGCCCTAATAGTAAGGGTAGAACAAATAAATTAATTGAAAATGCAAAAATAAGATATATGTGTCGCGTCATCATGCACAAGACTCGACAACACGTTAAAGATCGACAGTCTCCAATGGCGCTTTGCAAATCGCAGCTGTTTGATCGCTCGCTTAGTTTCCACCACTCGTAGAGCTACTTTCAGTACCAATTTATCCAATCAGATAGATCTAGCGAGGTGTCGTCCAGCGATGTAACATGGTCATTCGCTTTCCAGCATCCAAGTCTTTATTCTTGAACCTACCTCTTTCTTCTCCAACCCACCTCTTCTTTTCACTCTTTTGTGATAATGTTGGCACGTCAATTACGTATTCAAAAGCGCACCATTCAGATCGTTAGACCAATTGCATCTATATCGATGCACATGCGTTTATTTTCAAGTCGCACCTACGTTGAGGATCACAAGGAGGACGAGGAAATTATGAATGGCAGTGAACCCTTGAGCTCCGAGCACGATATCCTCGACACGTACTTAACGACACTTAAGAAATACAATCCCCCCATTAAGACGGGACTTAAGGGTCTTAATATCGTGCATGACCCGCTTTACAATAAGGGCACGGGGTTCCCACATGTCGAGCGTGATCGTCTTGGTAATATCAGCAAAAATGATTGATCTTGAGACGGTTCTTTACAGCCGATTATCAGCTCTAATGCTACTTTCTATTGCAATTGTTGCTCTATAGGTCTGCGTGGTCTTGTGCCACCACGTCGCCTTACTATGGAGGCGCAGCTTTCTAAACTGTACGATGCTTTTTGTGAGCAAAAAGACCCATTGGACAAAAGCCGTTTCCTTACGGACCTACACGACCGAAATGAGACGCTGTTTTTCCGTCTTTTGATCAAGCACGTAAAGGAAATGGGTCCGTTCTTGCCCCATTTCAACTGCTTTTGCAAAGTTTGTTACTGACACTTGCGTGCTATTGCTCACTTCAACTTTAGCCCCCATTGTATACACCCCGACAGTTGGTTTAGTGTGCCAAAAGTTCGGCCACTTGTTCCGTCGCCCGCGTGGAATGTTCTTCAGCACGCGCGACCGCAGCCAGTTCGGCGCCATGGTGCACAATTGGCCGTCCGACGACGTGGAAGTGATTGTAGTCACAGACGGCAGCCGTATTTTGGGTCTTGGTGATCTTGGTGTGAATGGTATGGGCATCCCTATCGGAAAACTGGCACTGTACACGGCTGCTGGTGGCATTGACCCACGCAAGGTGCTTCCAGTGATGCTCGACACGGGTACCAACAACAAGCAGCTTCTCGAGGACCCCTACTACCTTGGTGTGCAGCAGCCACGTCTCACCGGTGAAGCTTTTTGGTCAATGGTGGACGAGTTCATGCGTGCTGTGCGTCACCGCTGGCCCAAAGTGCTGGTACAGTTCGAGGATTTTTCAAGTGAGCACGCTGCAGATGTGCTAAACGCGTACCGTCTAAAGCAGCTTTGCTTCAACGATGACATTCAGGGTACGGGCGCCACGGTGCTGTCTGGTGCTTTGAGCGCTTGCGAACGTGTGCAAATTCCGCTAAAGGACCAACGCATTGTGGTTCTTGGTGCCGGTAGCGCAGGATTGGGTGTAGCCACCACTTTGCTTCAGGGTATGTTGCGTGAAGGCATGACGACCGAGAAAGCTCGCGAGCGCTTCTACATTGTGGACCAGCATGGATTGTTGGGCGAGTCCCGCGAGTCGCTGAACTCGGGCCAACAGTTTTTCTCGCGCAAAGACATTGCTGACAAGACGAGCCTCGTCGACGTGATCAGGCAGGCGAAGCCCACGATGCTCATGGGTCTAAGTGCCGCCGCCGGTGCCTTCACGCAAGAGGCGATCGAGGAAATGGCGAAGCACGTGGAGCAGCCGATTGTGTTCCCGCTGTCAAACCCCACCTCCGTGGCGGAGTGCACAGCCGAGCAGGCTTTCGAGTGGACCAACGGCAAGTGCGTGTTTGCCAGTGGCAGCCCGTTTCCGCCTGTCATGTACAACGGCACGCAACACAATATCAGCCAGTGCAACAACATGTTCATCTTCCCGGGTGTAGGCCTTGCGGCTTCAGTGATTCAAGCGACCCGTGTGACGGATGGCATGCTCTACTCTGCTGCCAAGGCGTTGTCGCAGTGCATGACGCCGGAGGAGATTGCGACTGGCCAAGTGTTCCCCTCCGTGGAAAACATTCGTGAAGTGTCGCTTAAGGTGGCCACGGCTGTCTGTAAGACTGCTCTGGAGGAAGACGTAGCTGGACTTCAGCCGATAATCCGTCGTGGTGCAACGCTTGAGGACTACGTCGCCTCCAAGATGTACTACCCGACATACCATGTGCTGGTGGAGTAAGGGCCTCGCTTCAAGCGATTAGAGCCTCAATCATGCATACAGAGAAGTTGCAATATTCGTGTACAGACATCTTGTCCTATCCACCCGACAATTTGGTCATAACCCCGCGTTTCTCTTGTGAAAGGTGCGCAATATCCATTCAAACATCTCTCTATGTTCTCGTGCTGCAGGCAATACGTCAGCGATGGCACCCACGAACGATTTCGGTGGCAACATGACTCCTTTAGGGTTGTACCGCTTGTCAATTAGTCGCACAGGTTGTGTTAGGTACTGAATGCTTTGCAGAACTGAGAGCAAGCAGCGAAACGATTGACATGCGTATATATCTATCAGTTTGAACGACCGTCACGCCCAGCTTATCGTTCAGTCCGAGTGGGTGGAGCAAGGAGAGCAAACCGTGACACAAGCGCGTCAAAGAGCTCCTCGTGGTCCTTCCCCTCAGCGTTCTTCGACTTGCGCAGAGCATGCAGACAACCGGTCACGGAGCCTCGTGGAGCGTCAATGTCAACTCCGCTGGCGTACTCAAATATCTGACCCGGTGCCAGCAGCGGCGTAGCGCCCACAATTCCCGGTGAGTTCCGCTTCAGTGCAATTCGCTGGCCCTTCTCGCTTTCAAACGTGTATTGGCGTCCGAGAATCTGAATCGAGCACTTTTCGTCTAAAAACAAAACGCGTGAGCACGCTGAGATCACAGGTCTAGCAGCATTGAAAGCATTCTCACTCTGGTTGGTAATGGTAACTCGGTACGTAAAGCGGTAGGTATTCGAGGATGGGTTGCTGTGACTCTGTAGGTACTTGCTCGTCGCCTCTATGCGGACGCCATCCGTCACTGTCACTGCAGCACAGCACAGCACCACACACCAACATCATTAGCAAGATTGTGGATAAGCATCGACACCCAATTAGAAAGACCTTGACTAATTATTCCTACCAGTCGAGCACTGGGCTAACAAAAGTTGGTTGGATAATTCACTCAAAGCTCTGCAACATAGTAGTAACACAATAATTAATGCTACCACTCAACAAAAGACCACCTACTAACACCTCAGTGCGCACTCAATTGATTCGTCCAGCTTCACACTCACAATCTGCCACAGAACGAAAAAAAATCATCGTCAGTTGTTTCAAAAGATCCATAAACCCTCAAATTCACCTTCTGTCGGCACCTTCGGGTCACTCAAGTGCATGTTTTCTCTAAATGCCACTTGAATACATTTAATAAGGTCCACACTAAGTGATCCCATACGAAACGCATTGTCCCGCAGTCTCTGAAACTCTTTGAGTGACTTGATCATCTTTGGACCCATTCGACTCAATTCCTGGAGCTCCTGCTGCTCGTGGATTGTCATTGGTTCTACATAATTACCAGTACCCCACTGCTCTTTCTGTAACTCACGACGGATGTTAAAGTACGGCATGCACTGTAACTCGCGCGCATCACGCAGCAGACACCGATAAATGGCTCGGACAGTTGACTTGGAAGGCATTATGAAAAATGATGCACTCAAAACATGCGAATTATGTGCCACATAACGTTACATTTTTGTTACTTCAGAGGGGGAAGATTTTGGTTTTTTATCACTTTTTATCAATAAGACCCAAGATTTTATCTGTAAGGACTAGTGATGACCGCTACGACAGAGATAACGACGACGTCGAGCAAATTTCAGCTGCCAGATGAGGTCGTAACGCATCCTCTAGTACTTCTTAGTATCGTAGACCATTACAACCGTGTTGCACGTGATACAAGCAAGCGTGTCGTAGGCGTTCTACTTGGCTCGACGTTCCATGGCAAATGTGACATTACAAATTCATTTGCTGTCCCATTTGATGAAGATTTACGTAACCCTGAAATTTGGTACTTGGATCATGATTTTCTTGAAAGTATGTACCATATGTTCAAGAAAATCAATGCCAAGGAGCGCATTGTGGGTTTTTATAGCTCTGGTCCAAAAATCCGAAAAGCGGATTTGGATATTGACGATTTATTTCGTCGATATTGTCCAAATCCAGTGCTGGTGATCTGTGACGTGCGACCAAATGTCGAAGGACTACCAACTACGGCCTATGGCTCTATTGAGGAGGTTGAGGAGGATGGAAAAGCCATTAAACGTGTTTTTAAGCACGTTAAGTCCACTGTTGGAGCTTATGAGGCCGAAGAAGTCGGTGTTGAGCATCTTTTACGTGATATTAATGACCCATCGGTCACTTCATTGGCTGGACAAGTCAAGCACAAGATGACGGCACTTAATGGGCTGAAGGAACGACTGGAGGAGATGAAAACGTACCTGGAGAACGTTGTGGCTGGACGTCTCCCACCCAATCACCAGATCATTTACAACATGCAGACGATCTTTAATTTGCTGCCAAATCTGAACGTGGACGAGCTTGTGCGCTCCATGTTCATAAAGACAAACGACATGCATTTTGTACGTAAACTTAAGACTTTTGGTAGAGAGGTATGTAAATTGACTCTTTTTTTGGATGTGTTGTTTTTTCTGTGACTACTTGCATAGGTGATTTACTTGTCTTCGCTGATTCGCTGCACAATTGCACTCCACAACCTCGTGAATAACAAGATAAAGTACAAAGAGTCGGAGGAGGTCGGTTTTACGGAGAAGAAAGATGAAAAGAAGGACGAAAAGAAGGAGTCTGCTGCCACCGACAAGGCAAATAAGACGAGCGAGAAGGCCCCATAGAGCTGTTCGCGCGGCTAATACGCTGGCGAAATCAGTCGTGCTCTACATGAATGACTTTCCGCTAATATGTTGTTTCATCATCGTTTAGCAGGTGTCAAACGTTTTGACAAGAGGTTTTACTTGATGTTGCAATATTGATCCGCTAACGATTACTGACAAAATAATGGTTGAATTTAGGCGTTGTTACAATTTGTTCGTTTCGGAGGCTTTGCCTACGATAATGCCATTGAGCCCCCGTCAATCTGCCTCTACGGCACCTTGTTCTCATCTCCACTTGTCTGTAAGTCGATCACTTTGAAAATCGTGTCTAGCTCGACATTTGCTGGCTAAAAAAATGTGCGGATATTGTTTTCGGTTGACATCTACAACGCGGTTCTTCTGTTGAACGTAAGCGCGTGACGACTGATGTTCGTCGGCTTCAAACTCGCACTTTATTAGATAGATTCAGAGCGGGACTCGATACTGTTGCAGCCTTTGACATGATTTCAACCATAGGTAGTCGTGCTTACTACATTTGCATCTGCTCTACCACAGCTAGCACCTGAGGTTTCTAAATGTTTGCTTATGATTCGTTATTGATGGGCGGACGAGTGTCTGACACAAAAGACATTTAAGGTTACTTTAAAGATGAATGACCACTGGGACGAGACTTTGCAAGCTCTATGATTGATCAAAGAAACACACAGATGACAAGCTTCGATACCAAACGATGATCAAGAATCTCTAAGCAATTTGCAGACGTGTTTCATTAATCGTTTAGCAAAGACTCTTAGAGTATTTCGTGTAAGCAACTTGTTGCAGCTCATACGGTATCACAAAACTCGTTATCGGCGCTTGCCAAGTCGAGCACCCAGTAGTGCTTGTACGTCGAGGTCGCGTTAAAGGTGTAACCAAGGCCAATCAGCTGGAAGTCTTCAAAGAGATTGCTCGAAGGCCCATTGTTCCACGCCTCTAAGACAGTTTCCACGCTATTTTGGCCACCAGCCACAAGCTCAGCCAACTTGGTGGGCTGCATGCTTACAGCTTTGTAACGGGTGGTCGCATTCGAACCATCTGATCCCGTGGTTTTGACTTTGTCATTCTTGGCATTGTCGTCCGCAAGCCACTGTGCAGCACTGGTAAGCTTCGAGTTGTAGCATACGGCAGCGTGGCCCATCGCTAGACGCTTGGTGTTCAAGACGTTCAGAAAAGTCGAACTGGGGTTGACGACCGCGACTTTTTCTTCCGCCTCGACATTAAGAACGCCCGTGAGCACAACGACAGCAAATGCAAAGAGCCCCTTGATGTTCATAGTACGAGTGGTGCTTGATTTTTTGCTCTTGTAGTAGAAAGTTGTGGCGCTGGGACTGCGAATGTAAATGTGATCGAAGTGTGGCATGGCCAAATCGATCAAGGAAACGAATTTTTAGCTCATAGATTTATAGACGGTAGTGAGGCTGGTAGAAACTTTTTTTCACAGGTCGGCAAGGTCTTGAGGTGATAGTGCACCACCTGTTGCAGGTAAGATGCGACCTCACCTGATTTGTGACAACTTGATAGACGGGACGAAGCGACGAGATCGCCACGTCAGACCATCAAATGGTGATGGGCGGAAGAGACAGACGCATATTGGAAACAAGACGTGGTCTAGTTATAGTGCCGTTGAAGATGCATGTTGTTTTGTTGACAGGAAAAATTAACACCAAATAGGAGAAATTAGCACTAAATACATTTACTTTTACTTCTATTTACTTCGCAATAAGTGCAACTACTATACCATCTTTTTACAGATTATAAGTCCAACGGAATGTGCTGGCGGCGCAGCTCAGAGAGCTACACCCGCTGTGGGGTCGACGGTCAAGACACGACTAACGACCGCCAATTGGAAGAAAAGTCGGCAGTGCCCGCGGCGGCGCTGGACAAGATGTGGTGACTTGTCGAAACGGATGGACAGGATTGAGATTTGCAGGCCGGACAAGTCGACCAACAAAGCAAGGACTCTGCGGGGTCAAGCATTTATGGTTCGGTTTTGGGACCAGGGGGCAGGTATATCCCTCCAGGCTCTCTGGAGTGTACCTGTAATGGGCTAAATATGCCCATATGCTACACGCGCCGTTAAGTGTGCAATATTTAACGGACAGGTCTAAAGAGGTGCATAAGTACTTAAGACCTGCCACTGTGTGAGACACACGCACTATGTGACACACCCTTGTGTTATGGTATACACTATGTATCTACATTGATGGGATGACGCCCAGGCCTGGAGTGGCTAAACTAAAAACTTGAAACCGGAAAATAGCTTGAATAAATTCTAAATAAAACCTAAATGTAATCTAGATTGCGCATGTAACGGGGTCACACGACGGTTGTAACCTCATACTGAAAGTACATTACGGTTAAAGTTCTATATTGCATATAATGTATTCTTAGTACCGATCCTTTAAAAAAGGGGATATATAGTTGATTATCACTATAAGGTATCAGTAATACTTTATACTATCGGTATCAGTTCTTATTTGAAACAGCAGTACTAAGTAAAACATACACTGAGGATTGGATGATTCCATTTCCAGATACGAGCACTGACATACTATAATAATTGTTATATTAATAGTTAATCTAGTGTAGAATACTTAGAGTAAAATTACTCATAAAATCTCAATGCATCAGTTCTCATTTTGAGTTAAAGATCCCAAGTCTCGATAAAACTTGTTCTCTTGTGCACAATGTGCGTTAGTTGCTTGAGCCATAAGCATAGCTTAAACTTTTGCACTCTGTGCGCTGGTTCGTTGAACCTCAAGCTATTGCTGTAGACTAGAAGTGTAACGGGGCAAGACCGTTACATAATATTGACACTTATATGAAGTGTCAAGTAATATATTATTTTAACAAATAATATTTAACAACATCACCTTTTCCTAAAATATCGTCTCTGCATCTCCTTACAATTGGAGATGCCCTCTAAATGGTTGATGTAGGCCATTATACTAACCAGGGTGCTGAACAATTACCGATGGACGCGCGCAATGAATGGAGGGCACGAAGGTAGCATACATAGTTGTACTTTAATATAGTTAAGACAAGGTTATTAATAATTTAGTTTTATTAGATAGTCTATGTGTTACATACAGTTCTCTTTTTCCCTACTTATAAACGTGTTGTTTAGAAGTAAATTTTCCTCTCTCTTTGTGTAAGAAAGGTTTTGAGGCAACTGCTTTCACTGTAATCAGTGAAGGTAGACTATAATGTTACCAGTAAAGTCAAAAGGTGCCCCATATTAAGAAGGCCCTCCTAGTTCCTTTAAACAGGGTGACATTTTAGTCGTTTGATTAGTTCTAAAGAACTAAGAGGGTTTTATCCTGAGAAGTCTTCCTCCGGCTAAAAAGCTGTGTAGCTCCGCTACAGCGCGGCTTGCACAGCACATGTTAGGTAAGCTCTAAACTCTGGTTGTCAGCCGTAATCTAACACCATCATCACAGTCTTTAAAGGGCTAATTACCACCTGATAAAATTTAAATGCCTGTAATGGGGCACCCTCCGACTATACTAATTACAGTATAGTCTACTTTCACTGATTACAGTGAAAGCAGGTGCCTCAATTACCTTACGTACACGTGAGCAGAGGAAGGGAATCAACTAAACAAACGCTTAGTTGAGAGGGAAAAGAAAAAATTGTATTTATTATAGTTAATTATCTAATAAAATTAATCTGTTATAACCTATGTTAAACTATATTTAATTACAACTATGTATGTTGACAACTTGGCCTCCACTCATTGCGCGCGTCTATCGGTCATTGGTCAGCGCGTTGGTTGATATAATGGCCCATATCAACCAATGAGAGGGCATCTCCAACTTCAAGGAGATCTAGGGACAATATTATAAGAAAAGGTAATATTGTCAAATATTATTAGTTATATTAATATTTTTATTGACACTTCATATAAGTGTCAATATTATGTAACGGGCTCACCCCGTTACATCACCCACCCCTCAACCAACAGTCACATTAGTGACTGTTTAGTGACTATGGGAAAGGAGCACTTGTTGAATTTTCTTTTATTCCAACATTTTCTCGCTATGACCAAGTCAATGCGCGTCGCTGCTAAGGCAGCCAAGAGCTCGGCTGCACGCCTGTGTGCAGCCGCTACTGAGGATTCACAGCCTCAGCCAGCAGACTCTAATGTGTCTGCTGGAAGTCAACATTAGCCTGCAACGCCTGTTGCAGGTTCACGTAGCGCTTTGCCACGTGAAGATGTTGACCCAGAGTTAGTCGTTGACTACTCTGGTGAGTCGGATGACGCATCCGACTCAAAGCCACCTGTGTCACGCCCGAGCTCCTGTGGTGGAGTGGGATTCGCAAAATGCTGATGCGATTCCAACTCTCCACTGGCGCCCGGACGACCGACTAACGGAGGGGGTACCCCGATTCCGTGTATAAAGCCTTCCTCACCTTGTGTACCCGTCGGTAGGGCGGATTGCTCTCTTCTCGGTGGACTTGAGTCGATGTTGATCCTAATCGGGCTAGGGATAAAAGGTGTGGTGAAGTGCTAATTTTGTGATGTGGAGGTCCCAGACTCCAGTCGGATTCGGAGTATGGACCGTGGGTCAGGGACAGGGGACCAGAGAGACAGGGGCCTCGAAGGAGAGCGACCGTTGGTGGAGAACAGTCCGCAGGATCCGCCGAAGGAAAATCAGTATCAGGGTACCGGTTAACCGGTACCAAAAGGAAGTTGATCATGACCCCTCATTGATCGACCTGGCCTCTCGTTGGTAGACCCGGGTCCCTCATAGGTCGACCTGGGTCCCTCATTGGTCGACCCGGTCCCTCATTGGTCGACCTGGTCCCTCGTTGGTCGACCCGGTCCCTCATCGGTCGACCTGGTCCCTCATTGGTCGACCCGGTCTCTCATTGGTCGACCCGGTCCCTCATCGGTCGACCTGGTCCCTCATCGGTCAACCTGGGTCCCTCATTGGTCGACCTCGGCCTTTGGGGTTCAGCCACTCAGGACCAGTTAATACAAGGATCAGACCAGTCGACGCAAGGAATCAGAGCATCAGGAAAGGATAGAGTAAAGGGTTAAAGGATAGGACTATATTAAATACTACTCAATTTGCGATCTACGTGGCACGACTCCGTCACCCAAGAAGGACTTGTTCTAAGTTACTCACTGTTCCGGGAAGGGATATATTTTGGCCCCCCCGTCGAAGACATTTGCGTAGCGAAGTTCAAGGGCAAATAGAGCTCCAGGATATATTTGGCCTGTGAACTCGTTCTAGTAGCAACACCCCCCAAGACCCGATATCGGAAGCGGTCTCCCTCACCTCACGGTCCGAGAGCAAAGAAAAGTCCAGGAGGTATATACCCCTGAAACAGAAGGAAAAGGCCAGGGACGACAAGCGCCCCTGAAGAATTTGGCTCTAAGTCCACTCTCGACAAGGTCAATCGAGTGGCCACCTACCGGACCACCGAGTGAAGCATATCCACTCGAGGCCCCCCAGGTCTACCTCCCTCAAGGCAGACATCTACATCGTCACCAAGTCCTCCGAAGAGTGCAACCCGCCAGCCGACGGGTACACAAGGTGAGATAAGGTCCATACGCGGCATCCTCCAACAGTCGGCAGTCCGGCACAGTGAGTGGTGTGGGGTCTCATCATACAATTTTGAGAACCCACTCCACCACAATGATGCGCGTGCCCGGATTCGAACCAGGGATTTCACCGCGAGTCCCAAGACGATAAAGATGTTCTTGTCAAGAAGGAGCACAAGAGCGAAGAGTAACTGGAAGACCGATCGCCAGTGACTCAAGAAGAAACAAACAAAGGATCGAAGGACCGACCGGGCCTTGGGAGGGGCCCGGTCAACATGGTCGAGGTTGAACTTATTGAAGAGAAACCTAAATACCCTCCCTATGTCCTCGTATAGGACACCTTGGGTCATGATACCTATCACGATCCAGAGGACCATCAGCCGACGGTGAAAACAGAGAGGCTAAGGTACCCGGACAAACAAAAAACAAAGATCGCGCAGTCCAAGCCGACAAAGTTCCGGATGAAGGCAACCGGAAACACCAAGTCGATAGGCCCCGAGAAGTCAGGATTGGCATCATGGTCAGACGCTGACGTCACGAGGGCCTACCACCAACGCAAGCTGAACGCGTTCCTGGAGAGCGATCCTGTCGCGAAGACTCTGGAGATTCGGAAGCTGGGTCAACTTACTGGGTCGGTATCGACCCTATCACGGCTGCAAACCGTCACGGACGCGATCACTGCGCTGGTCACCCTTCTTCGTGAAGCGAACATGGTCGCAGGG